GGGGGGGGTAAAGGATGAAAATCCAGTACAAAGGTGTACCAAGTACCAGTAACCATAAATTAAAAATGTGTTCAAACTCTACAGGGGTAATGGGGTAAAATGAAAAGTCTAAAAGGTAAAGAAGGGCTATATTATTGCTCCGTTTTTCCTCAGAAAGGCTTCACCTTTCCTTCCTGTTCACATTTGGAGTCTCTGCAAGCACAGCACTGCCCGGCCCCTGGAGCAGAGCCAAAGTCCGTGGAGGGGTCGCCTGGAGAGGGAGGGCGTAGCCCCAAACGTGGTGGATGACTCATCACATTCCACATTACACAGGCTTATGACTAAAACTTTTCACAACACACAGGTTTATGACTCAATAAATATTTTTTCCACTTTATATTTCATGACGCGGTGGAATCAGGCGTTCATCAATTTGTGGGTATGTTGCCTTATTTGCATCATCTCAAAGTTTGTCTTAGATTTGTCTTGCTTTATACGGGGTGCCCAGTACGGAGGGATCGGCCGATTGGGCCGATCGCCCGACTCGGACAACTAAAAAACAAACGTGTTTGTTTTCAGTTTCAGGTGATCGAGTCTGGCGATCTGCCCGATCCAGCCGTAGTGGACACTCCGTATTAGGTGAAAAAAATGACCGTCTATCTTGAACAGAAGTAGAGACGGAAGGAGGAAGGGGTCGCCAGGTTAAAAAAATAAAACAAGTGAAAAAACTGGCTGCCAAAGCTTGGTAACGTTCATAGTTTGAGTCTTTGGAAACTGAAAGGTTATAATTTTGTGCCTTTAGTCAGCGCTCTTCAGTAAAATCCACACAGAAATGTGTTTCTAAATAGACGTAAGAGTTGTTGAGCCAGAAAACGAAAGAAAATTAATAGATAAAAACTACGAAAAAAGGCGAAAAATGCCGTTTTCTTCGATTTCATTATTTTGACGAGTGCCAGATTCCACTACGATGGCTCACGTATACAGTTTTATGACTCATACGTTGCGTAACACACGTATTTATGATTTAAACACTTCACAAAGCACAGGTTTATGACACAAAATTTTCATTACACACTCGTTTGTTATTCCCCAAATGTGTTCAAAGACTCATCCGTTCCACAATACAAACGTACCGCCCAAACGTATTGAATGGCTCAAACACTTCACAACACACAGAATAAAAATTGTTACCAGGACAAAAGGTCTCTGTGATATTTTTGTATCGTAAAGAGGTGACTAGAGTCTAGCTCTAATATAGTAAAGAGAGATCAAGTCGACACGATAAAGACATTAAGTGCAGAGGACATGCAAGACCAACCGACAAAAAAAGGGAAAGAAAAGAAGGAGTTGTGGCTTCTACTATGACAAATGAGACCAGCTCTGGCAGAGGAAAGTTTGTCACACTTTGAGTATTTAAAAACTTAATTATTTCCATTTGTGGATGTGTGAGCAGCTATTTGTTGATATTATTCCCCTTGCCCATTTATATGAGATTGACGCAATTTGATTGGTCGAAAAACGTGCGTATGATAGTGTCCAATAGTGTATTACGTACATACTTAGTATGACATGCAACTGTTACAGATATAAATTCAAGGATTTTAGATGTAGGTCAATGGTCTGAGAGCAATGATGATTTTAGAAATAATGGTGGTGATGAGTTATGATGTGGGATTGAGTTTAAGTAATGTTAGCGTTAGTCCCATCTTCCTCTGCTCCAATGAGTAACGAGGGACGTGGGCACCCTCTATCCCGTCCCCGACTGGAGCGATCTTTAATGTTTGTTGACGACATAATATGAAAGCCAAAAGGGGCGTGTCTACTTACGGACGCAGTCTCCACCCGAGGACTCCTTGTAGCCGGCACAACACTCACAGCGGAACCCACCCAGGGTGTTCACGCACTCTGCGTTGGCCCCACAGCCGTCGATGTCGTAAGCACATTCGTCAATATCTGCGAAATATAACCAACAACAAATGTTCAAAATTGTATAGGTTTAACGCCTTTCTGAAAGGTTTCGTAAAAAGCTTGACCACCAAAATCAACGTCTTTACCAATAGGATGTGACCAAAAAAAAGGAAAGAAAAAAAAAAAAAGGAAAAAAACAAAACAACAAAACAACAAAACCCCTTCCAAATTCCCCCTTGGTTGTTGAAATCATGGCCATCTACCACGAAGATCAAATGATACATGTACTAACTGAGCTAACCGTGCGGCAGTCAATATCAGCAGAGGAAGAGTTCGAATCTAGTTTAACTCACTGATGGCGCATTGTTTTGGGAGTTCCAAAATCTGTTAATGTTGTTAATAGAAGCCGTTAAAAATTGAAAATGCGATATATACATATATTACATAGACAGATAGAGAGAGAGATAAAGAGCCCCCCCACCCCCACCCCCACCAACGGGACAGTGCCACTGACTGAAGTTGTCTTTAGGCCATTCCCAAAGGAGGGATATTAACATTTTCTTATGCACAGTAGAATTGTAAATGGGCTGACCTATCAATGTCATGCCTATACTGTTCCGGAACAACATAGGGGTAACTGCTGCTTTTTCTTTCCTCATCCTTACTATCGTCATGTTTCCTCTACTTCTTTTGTATGTTTGTCACTCTTTTGTGAACTGTTATTTCCAGGGTGCCTTGATAGTATAGTCGGGCAGACTTTATACTGTTGAGGTTAGAGAGGTGAGCAGAGTAAGCCTGATTCCCCATTTGGACTTCTCTGTTGACATCCACCTCTTGCCGCTCCTAATATGACCTTATGCAGCTGCGAGCGCCGTAAAAAGCTTACTAAAAACAAAACAATAATGAGATAAAGAGAGAGAGACAATGAGAGAGAGAGAGAGAGAGAGAGAAAGAGAGAGAGAGAGAGAGAAGGAAAGAGCGAGAGAATACATAGATAGATAGATAGATAGATAGATAGATAGATAGATAGATAGATAGATAAATAGAGAGAGAGAGATAGAGAGACAGAGAGATAGATAAATAGAGAGAGAGAGAGACACACACACACA